GAGGCCCGGCCGGGGGAGGGGCCAGGAAGGGGGCTGGGTGGGACCTGGAGGGGGCGGGGTGGGCACCTGCATGCCGAGCGGGAGCCGCGAACAGGAAGAAGTCACCTCCCGTCAGCGGGGAAGAATGTGGAGGGGGTGGGACAGGCCGAGGAATCGCGAGGGGCGCAGAGGTTAAGTGCCAGGCCGCGGGAGGCGGCGGGTGGGGGGGCTCAGAAACTTCCCGGGACAGCTAGCTACCCGACCGGCAGATGGAGGGTCAGTTCCTGGCATGCAGGGCCCACTCCTCTGCAGCACCGCTGCCCAGGGACTGTGATTGCCAGGACCTGGGTCTCAGGGCTGGGCAGGGCCAGCGCCAGACTCACTTCGACCTGTCCCTGTGCCAGGCCCCTGTCCCTGCGCCAGGCCCGGCGGGGGCAAACAACACTTCCTTTCTCTGCTCCTGGCTCCTACTGGAGAGGGGAGGGCCGCCGGCTGCCTGGCCGGCCTTCGGCCAGCCTGTGTCCTCCTGGGGGCTGCAGGGGAGGCCAGCACTAGCCTCATGCGGTGGAGTAAGTGGGCAGTGCCCTGACCAGGACAAGGTGGCCAAGGGCTGGAGGAGATGCTGGCTCAGCTGCCAGCCTGGGCAGGCTCGGCGTGGGGGTGGCTGTCAGTGGAGGAGGCCAGGCCACACCCCCGACAAAGCAGCAGGGGGGGGGGTCTCCTTCCGGAAGAGGCTGTCCCAGAGCCGCAGGCCTCCCTCACCCAAAGGTGGCGCAGAGGGAGGGACACATACCTGTCTCAGCTATGCCAGGAATGTGGTTCCCCAGGTCAGAACTGGAGGAGGTGCCTTCCGGGGCAGAGGCTGGGGAAGGGGCCTGACCAGCAGAGCCAGAAAGACCCTGCAGGTCCCAGGGAGACACTGAGGCAGGCAGGTCCCAGCAGAGCTGGGGACAGGTGTGCTGAGAGCAGCAGGTGCCCCTCAGGACCCAGGTGAGGAGGAGGAAGAGGGGGGCCGGGGAGGACCAGGCCCCCCACCTTGGCTGCTCTGGGCCTTGCAGGGGGTGAGGTGTGCTCGGGACAAGTGAGACCTGGTGGTCTTGGGGTGACCTCCACAGATTAGTGGCTGCTCAGACTTCGCCCTGGGCCCTGGGGGGCCCTGGAAGCAAATGGGGTCAGTCAGACGGGAAGGGTCAGCTTATCTCAGCCCTGCCTCCTCACTGGGCTGAGGCCTGGGCTCCTGGAGCCTGGGGTGGGGTCTGAGGTGCTCATCTCCTACAGAACAGGAGTGGGCCTCCTCCCACCCACCCAGCCGGAGGGACTCTGGCACAAGGTTGTTTCTTCCCCAGCCTGGCCCTGGCTCCAGGGACCTTGTCCCTCAGGCTTTGGGGCACTCAGGGGAGATGCCCCCTCTCATCTAGACCAGGGTTGTGATGTGTCAGCCCTGCCCTCAGCGCCCAGCCCACTGCCCTCAGCGCCCTGGTTGGCTTCCAAAGCAGATCCATGTGGCCCAGCTCCAATCCAGAGCCTTGCAGTGGGAGGGAGGCTCCTCAGTCTGGGCCCTCCCGGCTCCCGGCCTCCCGGCCTCCAACCACAAGGCTCCAAGCCATTTCCTTTCCCTTCATCTCCAGGAACTTCTTTCCCTGGACCATACCCCTGGGGGGCCTACCTCAGGACGTCCGGTGGCTCAGCCCTCCTGGCTGGGCACTCACCCTTCTGCTGCACACAGGCCTGTGCATCCCAGCACCTGCCCCAGCCCGGCCTAGGTCCTGCCCCTGAGCGTTGGCTGCCAGGTCAAGTCTCAGTCCTAGCTGGGGGCTCTCCCTGTGGACCCTCCTGTCCAGCTGTCTCTCTGCCCAGCCCGGCATGTCCAGAGCCGGGTTGGTGTGGATGGGGCTCTGGCAGGATGGCCAATCTTGCTGTGCCCGTGGTGGCCCTCACGCCACATGCCTTCTGACCCCACATAAGGCCTCAGTTACTGGTCACAGACCCCCGGGCTGGACCCGCCCAGCAGTACACTTAACGGTTGATCCTCTCGATGATTCCCCATCGAGGGAGAGGGCATTTTCTATCCTGACCCCTCTCTCCAGCCTCTCCTTAGCCCCCACTCACCCCGCCACCCAACACTGGGCATCACATCACACAGCTGCCCGGTCTCCACGTCTCACTCCCATCTTTTCCCTCAACCACAAGCTTCCAGAGTGAGGCCGTGTCTCAAGTCCTTGCCAGGCTGAGACCCCTCAGTCGAGCCAGTGCTGGCAAGAGACTAGGACACCCAGCCCTGCTGGCTCCTCCATGTGACGCTGTGGCCGGGGACCACGAGGCAGCCCAGAAGCAGCCAACCACAGTCTGGGCAAGACGTCATGGGGCCCCCGCCCACTTGGGTCTGCCTCCCGTACACAGTCCTCCCCAGGCCAGATGAATCCACCATCCAGGACCCCACAAACACCAAGCCAGCATCACAGCACTGAATTGGATAGAAGGGGGACTTCCCTACTGGCCCAAAGAGCAAATCAGAGGGACAGGGTCACCTTCCCAGGACAGGAAGTAACAGGCCCCTCCTACTCCCCTGGGGAGAAACCCCCCCCCCCCAGCCCCCCCCCCCCGCCCCCGCCCCGCCAATAAATCCCTTCTAGGCAGCCAAGAGGGGACAGGCAGGATGTGGGACCGGCCGTTCTTACAATCTCCCTGCCCGTTCCTCAGCCAAGGATCTCAACTCCTAACTGGGACTATACTGGGATGAAGGGGGGTGAGGGGAGAGAGCCCTGGTCATGTGATTCCTGCTCACCTCCCAGAGACTGTGGTGGGGGAGGGATGCTCTCAGGCCATTCAGAATAGACGTGCGGGGACAGGCGACGAGAAAACGTTCTTCACCTCGATAACGGAGTCCCACACCCCTTCAAACCCACAGAAGCCCTCACCCCACAGAGCTGCCCCTTCCCACAAATGACAGGCCTTGGAACACACAAGGGGGCTGTGCCCCCATCTATAGGCCCCACCCCCAAGGGATTGCTCAACATCTGGGCCCTGTCTAGACAGATGTTTGGGCCTCTGCAGGAACATGAACAGCTGGTGTTCATTCACCTGGTCCCAGCCTCTCCTCTAGAAAAGGACCCTCGGCGAGGTACAGAGCCAGGGAGGGGGCGGGGAGGGTAAGAGAGGGAGGCTTGTCCCTTTGCAGGGCTGGGACTTGCTCAGCTCAAGACAAAAGATGGTGGCGTTGTGGGGGTTTGGGGGGGCACTGCTAATGACCTGGAGATGGCAGAGACACAGCCAAGGAGGGGGGAGCTGCAAGGTCAGACCCCGAGAGTTTGCTCCAGCCTCCCGCACGCTCCCCTCGGCACCCTGGCCCCACGCACCTTCCACACAGTGCTCCACCTCCTCCAGGTTCCGCAGGGTGATGCGCATGAGGCTGGAGTTGAGCATCAGCTCGTTCTTGTGGGCTGGCCACAGGTACGGGGGTGCAGGGTTCACGAAGAAGATCCTTGTGTCCCCAGTGGACACCTGGTTGTCACAGATGAGGGGGTCACCAAAGCCGCCAATCACCACCTTGTTGCCGCCGTCCATCAGGCTCTCCTGAGTCACCACATCTTTGCCCTTCAAGTACCGCCAGACCCGAACCTGGGGGGCGGGGGCGGGGAGGAATGGGGGGCAGGTATCAGCAATCCATTCCCACTGGGGAGAGGCGGCCACAGAGGCCAGAGGCGAACTGCAGACGGGGGCGCCTGGGCCTTTTCCTCCAGGAAACAGCTCCCAACCCGCAGGTCTAACTGACCCCGATTCCAAGGGTGTCCATGTCAGCTCAGGCCGGATATGGGAAGGGGACCCACCTGGCCTGGGCTGCCTGCCTTCCCTGCCTTCCTCTCCCTATCGGCCCACCCACTCCTCTGGCCTGCCCTGGACGGAGCCAGGAGACACTAACATGGACGACAGGCTTTCAGGGCGACAAGCTCTGAGCTCAGGGCTCTGGGCCAGCTGCATTCTTTGCAGCCCTGTGGGTGGGCTAAGACACCCCCTCCCAGGAGATAAAAGACCCCTCCTCCTGCCAGGCTCCGGCGGTGAGTGCAGTAAAAGCAGCCTGAGAACCACAGAATCAAGTTTGGGCAGCGCAAGGCAGCCCCACCCTCCCTGCTCGCTCTGGGGGCCCTGAGGGCACCTTCTCAGCCGGTGCCCTGGGATGCTCACAGTCCACAGGGAGGGGGATGGGGGTGGCAGGAGGGTCGCAGGAGATGCAGGCTGAACAACAGGCTGCCCTCGGAGGAACAGGTCCCCCGACAGGAGCCCAGCTCCCTGAGAAATGGCCTTTCTTCAGGAGCTCTGGGGGGTTGGGTGCTGGAATGGGGGATGAAAGACAGAGGTGGCCGGTTCACCTGCCTAGTCCCCCCTGCTGGGAGCCTCGGGTCTGCAGCACCTGCAGGGACCCCCACCACCCTCCCGTGGTCTGGCGAGCCTGGCCCAGCCCTCTCCCTCCGACCTCCAGACACACAGTAGGCTCAGAAGGACAAAACCAGCAGGGGGAGGGCGGGCAGCTTTCATCGCCTCCCCCCACCCCAGCCACACCCAGGAGCGGCGGGGAGGAAGTCGGGAAAATCCTGCAGGGACTTGGCAAAGTGCCCCGAGGTGGAGGGGAGGGGGCCCAGCGGGGGAGCCCAGCAGTGGCCCTCACAGGCCAAGCTAAAAGGAGCTGCTGCCGTTCCCATCTCCTAGCAAGAGGAATGATCCCATTTCTGGTCGGGGAGGTAGTTTTAGGGGCCAGGAGTGGGGGAGGGGCCTGGGTGCCCTGCGCACACCCTAGGAACGGACCGTGGTGGAAAACCCACCATCCTGCCCCGGGTCCCGCTGCAGGAGAGAGCCCGCAAGCCCCCCTCGCGTGGCCGGGGGACATGCGGTTCTTCCAGGGATGGGGGCACCTGCCCCTGCCGGCCAACCCCCACGC